CCTGACGTACCGGGTGGTGAACTGGCCCCCGTACCTGCCGCAGCACGAGGTGCGCCTGGCCGTCAGGGCCGCCTTCCAGCTCTGGAGCAACGTGTCCGCGCTGGTGTTTTGGGAGGCACAGGACGGCCCGGCCGACATCCGCCTGACCTTCTTCCACGGGGACCACAACGACGGGCTCAACAACGCCTTCGATGGACCAGGTGCTGGTCGCTTCCCCCTCGTAAGCTTCTCTTTTACAAGGTGGGGAGGAGGGATGGGATGCTCACGGGCTGCCAGCGATGGAGGCTCTACCCCCGCAGTCCCATTAACCAAGGCCACCTCCCAGTTTGCTTTCTGATGTGGGGTCTCCACTCCCAGCTCTGCAACTGGGGTCTGCCGGTGAGGTGGTTGAGGTGCTCATCCTAGGATCATGGTGATGGCCTTCATGGAGCCCTCCCACCTTGACTGCATCCTCTGAACCTGACATAAACCTTCCAGATAAGCTTTTCTGCATGGGATAAAGCCCAGGGTTTCTCTCTTCTTGCACCTTTCCCAGCAAGGGTCACTGCGGTGGCTTCGGTCCCTGACAAGAACCCAAACTCAAAAACCACAGAGCAGACAAACCCCGCTGCGCTGAGGAGCAGAGCTGGTTTGGGTTGCACCCGCTGTGGGAAGCCACTGTTTTTTCTCACTAAACTTCTTAAATACCTAAAATCGGTGCTTATTTAAGCAAACCAGAGCCGCGCGTGCCCTGCTCCCCACCTTGGCTCACAACCAAGGTCACCTCCCTCCCTGTCCCGGTCCATGATGGTTCTCGTGTCCCCAGGAGGAGCCCTGGCTCACGCCTTCTTCCCCCGGCGCGGGGAAGCCCATTTCGACAGCGCCGAGCGCTGGTCCCTGCGCAGCGGCAAAGGGCGCAACCTCTTCGTGGTGGTGGCGCACGAGGTCGGGCACACGCTGGGGCTGGAGCACTCCCCCGTCAGGAGCGCCCTGATGTCTCCCTACTACAAGAAGCTCGGCAAGGACTTTGTCCTCAGCTGGGATGACATCTTGGCCGTCCAGAACTTGTACGGTGAGCCTGGCTTCCCCAAGCATCCCTGGGTTCCTCTGGGGCTCCATGAGGAGCAGGGATGGGAGCAGGGCCCTGCAAGGGCTATGGTGGGGATGGGCCCCATCCCTTTGTGGCTGGGGATGAAGATGCTGTTGGACACGTGGGATGGGTACCAGCGCATCCAGGGCAGGAAAGGTTGGACTTGCTGCCTGCTTGTTTGCAACCAGGGAAACACCAGTGTGTGGGGTTTTTTTGGGGTACCAAGGGGTCTTTGCCACCACCATATAGAGGGGGACAGGACCCAGACAGGGGGACAAGGAGTGTTTGGGGCCCCGGGGCAGCTCCCCAGCTGGCAAAAGCCGTTCCCTTACCCCTTCCCCACAATTCACCACCCCTCGCTCCATCGCAGGGAAGCCCCCCAAGGGCTCGGCCGTGCAGCTCCCTGGAAAGGTCTTCACTCACTTCCAGGACCTTCATGGCGGGGACCGGCAGCAGAGG